GTTGTGCTGTTTTTAAGGTCACCCAACTGCAGCAGGAGCAGATGAAAGTGGGCGCCTTAACGAAAGAGTGTGAACTGTCGAAACACTCAGTGAAACAACTGAAAGGTCAGGTCCATCAGCTACAGGAACTCCTCGCCAACAGAGAGCAGGAACACAGGTAAACTAGTTAATCTTTCAACTTCTAGAGGTGACTGACATGTAACTTCTCCCTTTAATATTCATACATTATCCAGTAAACAGGTAATGAGAATACTCAAACTTATCAGGTACAAGTTGTTGTCTTGATCTAACACCAAATTCTCGCAACTTATTTTCAAGAAAATGTGTAGCAGCTTGAGGGGAGAATTAACGATCAGATCTTGTACCAAAGTCGATTTCTTCTGGATTTCTTTCATAAATGTTTTACCTTAATTTTACCATGGGTTACTCGGTAATTAATCCTCAGTCAGGAGACATTAGTTCTCAACAAGTCCCTAATGCTGTAATGATTAAACCGATAATTTCACGCAAATCTTAGTGATTACTATTCCTTGATGGCAGAAAAGCAGTGGAGGACCTGGTACGAGTGGACGGGCAGGAGATGCGGGAGCTAGTAGAACGGGAGGCTGCTAAGCAAGAGGGTTTTCACCAGCAGATTATTAGAGAATATCAAGAAAAGTAAGAAAGAAACTGGTGACAAGTGACTGTTGTCTGTAGCCTTTTGATAGTCCTGACCCGTAACGAAACAGTATCTTAACATGCCCTAATTAAAGGCGAATTAGGCGGACTAAAGTATTCAGCCTGTGTAGTCGGTGTAACAACGCTGATAAAAGCTCATTAACTAGTGACTTTATAAGTTTTCGGGATATTTTCTGGCGCCATGGTAAACTTAAGTTACCGAGAAGCCGAAGACTACGAAAGATTTCATAGGTTTGACGTAAATACACAAACCTTCAGCTGTGAATCAAGAAGGAATGCCTAATGGCCAAGGATGAAAAAATGAAACTGGATTGAAAATTACGAACATGAACAATTTACAATTGGATTTTTCAAGTGACTCGCCCTTTTTGACAAGTCGCACTCTTTGACTGAGGTACCGCCTGAAATTTTTCCTCAGTAGGTTTTCCTAGTATCTAGCAGCTGGGATGGCAGTGTAAAAAAAAGAGCTAAATCGTGTTAGGACATTATATTTTCTGTCTGGATTCCCTGGTACGTAGATGGCAGAGTGTGCAAGGTTCGAATTCCTCGGTTCGAATCCTACATTCTAGACAAATATCCAACACCTTCTTTACGTCTTGACTCCATGACAGGTTGAACAAGCGTGATCTGGATTATGCTGCACTTGAGGACGAGTTCAGAATGGGTCTACAGATTGAAGCTAATAGGTTTAGAGAGGTTTGTAATTCTAATTAACACTTTGTAGATTACTTAGAGAATACGTGTTAGGTCTTAAAAGAACCAAGTCTCTGTGGCAAGAATTGAACTTTTGCTGTTTGCATTTCGCACTTTTCCCAAAAATATGAAAATACTTCCATAAGTTGTGAATAGGAGATCTCCTTCTCCTCTTTGACGGTTCCCTTGAGGGATAAGAAGAAAAGTGAAAGAAATCTGAGGTAAAGTTTGGCGTTCGCACTGCAGCTCAGTTAACTTGGTTGGCCAAAAAAACCTCTATTTGCGAGAAACTTTCGAGAAACCTTGTCATAGAAATTAATTCCACTTCCTTTTCCATTTCGCTGTACAAAATAGCTGCAAGAGGCGTTTGAGCGAATGAGCGATGAGCATGCGCAACAGAAAGAGGCCCTACACACAATAAAACAGAAGGAGAGCAAAGCAACTAATATGGTCAATGAACTCACAGCGGTAAGAACTTTTTGATGAGTGATTGTTTGAGCTGATTGGAAGGGCTCTATTTCACTTTCCCTTTTATTTATTTTAAAGTGTATAAATTTTCTGAAGCTGCTCGTCATTTTCAGTCTCAAGGCCAGTCTTGGCGACGTAACGTTTTCATGATTTCAACTAAAGTGGTAATATCTTTTTTTAAGCATTCTTGCTTTTTTTGTGTTCAGCAAGATTGTTTTCCAAACCCTCTATGTTCTTCGGCGATCGGTCGATGGGAGTCGGACACGCTCTGTGTACTTCGGGAAATGGACTACAAAAGTTAGACACGCTTCGTTCGCTTTGAGGATAAACAGTCTTATACCCTTCGTGTGATCTTTTTTTTTCCAAATTTGGTTTTGTCAGCCGTGGCCACCACTGATCTTTCTATTTATTAATTTGCACATAGATGGTGAAAGAACAACGTGGGAGATTAAGTGAGCTGTCACGAGGGAGGCAAGAAATTGTCGGAGATTACAAGGTGTGGCTATGATTATCTATCCAGATTTACCCTTGGGGAAAATTTATCATCCCAGGGGTATTGCAGTGTTCCCCGTCTCATGATATCCCAATCCAATTAAGGCCGGTTACTTTTAATACATGATTAAAATTTAAACTAAAAGAGAATTCATTTTTAGGTTGAATTTCTTGTATAAGAACTCGATTTATCGTTAAATTTGGTATAAATAAGCACTTGGGAATTTTTCAAAGACACCTTATGGCTTGTACACTTTTGGTGTCTTTGAAAAATTTACTCGTATTATATTTATTTACACTAAATTGCACCGGATATCATGTTATTACTTACACTAATAGCCTAAGATTAGAGTTAACCTCCAGTTGGTTTTATCTGATTTTGAGGGAAACCTGGAGGATACAAGGTATAGACAAGGTTTTCTGTAAAGCTACCAAAGTATGTTGATGGTAATGTCTTGTTTCGTAGGAAAGAATACAAAGTTTAGAGAAACAACTTAACGAAGCTAATAAACAGTTAACGAGACTGGAAGTACTAGAACAAGTAAGTATCAACATCACAAACAAAGGGCAGAGGCTTCTTTTCTGTTTGAGCATTACTGACACAAACTCAAAGGGAAATGTTTTTCTTAAAATCAGTAAATGACTTAAAACAATTCAATTCTCATGGCAAAAGACAGACCTATACACGAGGTAAAGCCTGGCCATCCGTAAAGACCATCAATAGCTAAGGACCAGAATGAGATTTCTATTCGCTGATGACCTGCTGTTCGTCACCTGTGCGGGTCTGCTGTAGCT